GAAAAAATTAGTTTTCGATTCGGTACAAAATTTCGAACCAGTATTTCGGTAAAAACCGAATACCGAAATTATTTAATACTTATTTATAATTTTATCCATTTCTACTCAATTCAATTCCCAATATTTATCTCAATATTGAAATAATGAATATTCACCCCACTATTTTAAGTCCTATTATCTAAATTTGGAAATCATAAAAGCATCAAATTAATAATACCGGTAAATGTTTTTATATTTCGGAATGGACAATTCTGTTATTTGTATCAACTATTTTGTTTAATTTATGTAATGGTTCTAATTGTGTTGCTTTATTTTAATTTTGGAGTGTGTAATGTATTTATATATAATGGATTATGCTTTGTTATTTTCAATTTGGAGAATGAAAAGAATTTTTTAAAGTTCAAATTTTGGTTTATGTTCGGTTTTTGGTAAAACCGATTACCAAACTGATTTAATTTGGCTTTTACCGAACCGAACCATTTGATTTCGGTTCGGTATTTGGTACAAAAAATAAATTACCAAAATTTCAGTTTACCGAAATTTTGGTTCGGTTCGGTTCGGTTTTACCGAATGAACACCCCTAGTTTCTGGGTTCTACAACTCATTTTCTGTTTTCGCGCTTCACAGTTGACCCTCTTAAACAAACACCAAAGAGCAAAAACATAAAAAAAAAAACAGCAACTTTTTCTAGTCGATCAACAGAGCCAAATATATCATTTATATGTGCTCAATAAGTTGTTTCACCTCTTTCTATGAGGGCAAAAATTAATTCTGCTCTAGGCTCATTACACAACTCATGTAATAACCTCCACCCTTTTAGGTCAATAAAAAACCCATAAATAAAGTGTTAAGGTATATAATGATAAATCAGTAGCGTGCTAGATGGAACAGAAAAGAGACGCCGCTTCGGCGCGCTTCATAAAATGCTCCACATCCTCTCCAATTCTCTCAATGTGTAAGCCTAAATATAGTCATGTATGATCTTGTTTGATTTGTCTTAACATATGGATTATTAATATATAATTTCTATAATTTTTTAATATACAAATTACAATATAAAATGGATTAAAAAAGTGCATTGGATGATGTGTAAAAATAAATGTGGACAAACACAGTGGGACGGAGGGAGTATATTTTAGTTTTGAATATGAAAAGAAATATTTATACCATCTCTTTTTAATTATGAAATACTCCTCCATTCATTTTTAATGTTCATATTTTCTTTTTTAGTTCATCCATAAATAAAATTTAAATAAGTTGTACGAAGTATGTAATATTTTTGAAATACTGTATAAAAAATATACGGAGTAATACGTTCATTGCTTTAACTAAAAAAGAAAACAAACTAAACAACTACTCCGTAAAATACTAATCCTAACAATTTCTTCAAATACTAAGTATATTTTAGGAATCTTTTTAAAACAATTTAACTTGTTCATACATTTCAAAAAAAATTGAAAATTTTATAATTAAGTTTCATAATTAAATTTAAATCAGTTTTCCAAATCTAAAAGAATTAAAACATAAAATTCTACACATTTATAAAAGGTGTTCTCTGTTCCATTTTTTAAAAAAGCACCTAATCACATATAAATATACTTTTCTGGGATGTCCTTAGTCTACATATAATACCTAATTACATACTACTACTACTAATAAATAATTTTTTTTGGAGTGGGTGCAAGTGACCCCACTTGCACAGCCTTAGGTCCGCCCCTAACCGTACTATATCATGCCGGCCCCACCATAGCCGTATGTGTCTACTCATAGGATGGTAGATTGGCTCCACGAACCAACACAAGTCTTTCCCGCACACTTTGTCCTTACTCGTGCATGCCCAATAAACTTCTCAGGGGATCACCTATCATAAAATTTCTCGAGGTTAAACACGCTTCACTTTGGAGTTTCTAGTTGATGAGCTCTCAAAAAGAAGATATACATTGTTGGTATGAGTAGTCTTTTTTGAACATTTTCTTTCCCCATTCCATTTATTTTAAAATCAGGGTGTTACATTCACTCCACTTAGGAATGCAACGTCCTCGTTGCATCTTTTTTTTCTTTTTTTCAAACCCTTAGATCTTTCGCGTTATGTGAATTAAGATCTATTGGCCCGTCATGGTCACAGGGTTGCTTTGATACCATTTGTAATACCCGGGCCCTCGCCCTAACCATAAGTGTCTACTCCTAGGATTGTTGACTGGCCCTACAATCGAACACAAGTCTTTCCTACGCACTTTGTCCTTGCTCGTGCAAACCCAAGAAATTTTCCAAGTGATCACCCATCCTGAAATTTCTTCAAATCAAGCATGCTTAGCTTTTGAATTTTTAATTGATGAATTCTCGAAAAGAAGATACACCTTATTGGTATGAGTAGTGTTATCAATCTTTTTGAACTTTTTCTTTCCTCAATCCACTTAATTTCAAAGTAGGGTATTACACGTACCCACATTTAATTCTTTCACTTCTCTCTCTCTCTCTCCCTCTGTATGTGAGTGTGTGTGTATGTGTATATCAGGGCCAGGTCCCATGAGATTTGACCTTCGTGAGAGAAATGATAATGGTGCATTCTTGTTCACCAATGGTACATTATAAAAAGCATGTACTTCTCCACGGTGCATAGTTCAACAAAGGTAGTGCATTTTATAAAGTTCAATGTAATTCTAGAGAATTTTTTATTTGGCCCAATTCGCGATTCGAAGATTTAACTTGCATGAATCGAACACATGCATTCTCATTTCTTTAATGTAATCTCATTATCAAGAGAATATATATATATATATATATATATATATATATATATATATATATATATATATATATATATATATATATATATATATATATTAGTTCCTCACTCTTTCCATCCTCTTTTCTAATGGTGGGCTATATGTTACGTAGTACTCCCTCCGTCCTAAAACTTTCTTCCCAGTTTGACTTTTCTACATTTTTAATTTTTGTCTTTGACTTCAAATTTTACCCTCCTTAAAAAAGATGTTTTGAATTTTTTTTACAAGCATTCAAAATATAGAGTTAGAAGATAATTGGTGTAAATACATGAGGGTATTAATGTCATTTGTCATCTTTGTTTTTCTAATGGGAAGGTAGTTTTAGGACGGGAAAAAGGGGAAGTGTGAAGAAAGTTTTAGGACGGAGGGAGTATAAATTTATTCTATCTACATACTTTTAGTATAATAAACTAAGATATTTTATTTCTTATAAGGAAAAACTTATATTAATACTAACGATGTAGGCGTAAATTCATAGAGCAATATTTAAATTTTTAATACAAATATGTACGGAGGATGTACTCCGTATGTACTAAGACCTTAGAGCATCTCCAATCATGCTTGTTAAACATAGCTTACTAAAGTTATTTATTGACATGTGAATAGTGATATAGCAAGTCATTTCACATGATCATCTCCAACCTTTGCTTGATACTACTATAATTTAGCAAAAATGTATTGATTTCACTATTAGAGTACATTATTTATTATAATTTTAAAATTTTATTATAAAAATTAATTAATATTCTACAAGTATGCAATTTAAACTTAAAATAAAATAAATTTTATAATTTTTTTGGTAAAAAATAAAATTATTTTTTTTTGTAAAAAACATAAAATAATATTTATTAATTTTTCTTGCGTTGTGGTACTGAAAGTGAGGGAACAAATGCGTCATGGTACATGAAAAAACTAACCCAACCAACATTTTTCTTCTTCTTTTTGGCTTGCTATATTTTATCAAGTTTGTTATTAGTAGCAAGCCATTTTCATTTTTAAGCAAGCTTGTCAAACATTAGCAAGCCCCTTGGAGTATGAAATTTTACTTAGTTTGTCAAATTGTAGCATATAGCAAGTCATTTTAACATGATTGGAGATGCTCTTACTAATACAATCATACCTTAATAATAATTTTTAGGAAAAATTACCCAGAATAATCCCAACTTTACTTGGTCTTTCAAAAATAATCTCACCTTTCACTGTGATGCATAATAATCCAACTTTACTGAAGTTTGCCAATTTTGGGTCGCCGTTAAGTTTCTAACGGAGGGTTAACGGAAATGCCCGTTTTGGGCAACAAAATGAAAGTTGGGATTATTTTTGATGAATTTTCATTTTTTTTTCATTTTTTAAATTTTTTATTTAAATTTTTTAAATTACTTTCTCTACCTCCATCATCATTTCTTTTTCCTTTTTTAAAGATTAGTCTTAGTTTAAAAAATAAAAATAATAGATATAAAAAATGAAAAAATGAGAAATGTAACTAAAATGATACAAAAATAATAAAATAAATAAGGTAATCAATGGAAACTAACTTGAAATTGGTAAGAGTAAAATAAAAATATACGGGTGGGTTTTAATATTTTACGTATTATACAAAGTATTAACATATCACTACTTATTTTTTAGAAAAAATTATCTACAATAATTCCAATTTTACCAGACGGCTTGTTCTTTTAAAAAATAAGTAGTATATTAGGACTTCGTATAGTGTGTAAAA